CGTTCCCGTGCCAATGCACCACCTCTGACGGCCCCGCTGCATCGAGCGCGTCGCCCCCTTGCCTCACCCGGGCGCTGCCCCCCCTGCGCGAGCCGCGCCCAAAGCTGCAGCGGCGCTGGCGCCTGTCGCGCTAACCGCTGTTGCGGCCGCCCTGCAGCAGCCGCAAGTTCATTGCGGGGGCGCCGCTCACTGGCGCACCCTCGCGCTCGCTGGCACCAACCTGCGCGGCGCGCGCGTTTCACCGTCCACTGTTAAATTTCATATCTTACGCCCGCGTAGGGACTCCACCACGGCCGAAGGCCCCAGTTCCTGGCAGCCCGATGGCCCGCGCGGCCGCGCGTCATCGGGGCCTGGCTGCGGCGGCAGGCGGCGCCCCGACGTTCGCAGGCCACTCAGCGGTCAAGCCCGTGCCCCCCGGCCGCCAACCGGGGCTTCGCCAACTGGGGCCCTTCTCCCACGCGGGGCGCCGAGAGACGCGGCGAATCGCTTGCTCGGCCACCCCGCCACAAGCTTCAGTCGCTTCGCGCCGGGGCGCTGTTGTTTCAACGCTCCCCGTACTTTCAGGCGCGCACCCTTGCCGCGAGTGCGATGGCGGCCTCAGCTACCGCGGTAGCCCGCTGTCGACGGGGCCCCCGTCTACTTGTCCGATCTCTGCCTCTCTCTCTTTCTCTCTCTTTCTCTCTCTCTCTCTCTTTCTCTCTCTCTCTCTCTCTCTCTCTCCCTCTCTCTCTCTCTCTCTCTCTCTCTCTCTCTCTTTGTTTTCTCTACATATATATATATATATATTATCTCTCTCTCTCTCTCTCCATATCTCTCTCTCTCTCTCTATGTATACTTGTTGCTGTTGTTAATGTATCTCTCTCTCTCTCTATCGCGCTTTCTCTCTCTCTCTCTCTCTCTCTCTTATCTTTCTCTCTCTCTCTCACTATCCCTTTCTCTCTCTCTCTCTCTCTCTCTCTCTCTCTCTCTCTCTCTCTCTCTCTTCCTCTCTATATATTTGTTGTTTTCTCTCTCTCTCTCTCTCTCTCTCTTCTCTCTCTCTCTCTCTTTCTCTCTCTCTCTCTCTCTTTCTCTCTCCCTCTCTCTCTTTCTCTCTCCCTCTCTCTCTTTCTCTCTCTCTCTCTCTCTCTCTCTCTCTCTCTTTCGTCTCGGCCCAAGAAGTTCCCGCGGGAACGGGGCGCGGCCAGGACGCGAAACCCCCCGCGCCACCCAACCAGGTGAGATTGTAACCATGGCCGCTATTCCGGGGCCAATTCGCGCCATTCCCCCCCCGCCACCCTCCGCCGCGCTGGCCTGCGCCGCCGCCCCGGCGCCCGCACCGCGCGCGGCGACCCCGCCACAGCCCACATCTTCAGTTGCGAGACGGGCACGACTCCGGGGGGAGGCAACTGGCCTCCACGCAGCACGGCCCCCTCCACGACAGCCGCGTCCTGAGCAGCAAACTCTGATTGTTCTTCACGATGATTACGTCTTCCGCGTGCCCATCCTGGATGAACGCGCCCTTCCTGTTTCACCTCGCGGCCCGCCCGCTCCTTGGGGCGCCCTTCAATCTCTCAGACGACGCGCGTCGTCTTCGGGGCGAACTGCGCGAGCCACGCGTTCTCATGCATCCACGAGGCCGCCGCGCCGCTACAGCGGCCAGCCCGGCCCCGAAGATCAACTGCAGCGACTCGTTGCACTGGATATTCCGCGCCCCGCCGTTTTCCCACATGGCCGCCTTCGGCATCCACGATGGCATCGGCAAGCTCTGCGCGCGCTTCGCCGCGACCCCCGTGATCCTTGGGAGATTGTTCTCCGTCGGCACGGCCTCGCTCTCCGCGGTATTCCGGGCCCTGGGCCTCGTCTCTGCGGCCCCTGGGCCCCCCCCCGGGCCGCCGCGCCACTTCGGCGGCCAGCCGGGCCCCCCCGCTCGTCGGCAGCAACCCCCCGCGCATCGGGAGCGCCCTCGACATCGCAGGTACTGCGGGCCTTGCCCTTTCCGAACGAGCCGCGCTCGCGCTGCACGCGGTCTTCGCGCAGTTCGTCGCGCTCTTATCCTACGGCGCGACCTCGGCCGCCACTGCAGGCCCCGCGAACGCAACTCAGGGCGAGCATCACGCACCTTCAGGCCCCGCGCTCACGGGCCACGGCCCTGACGGCGCCCACCCGCCGCCCGCCCGCAGGCCATGGCTCGGGGTCAGCGAGCGCCACCCTCACCGATACCCCAACGACCACGATCCACGCACTCACTGAGGAGCGAAAGAAGGACGTACATGTACATGAATCCACGCTGGTTTCGAGAGCACGCATTTCACAAATGTTCGTATAACGCGGCCGGTCTCGCGAATCGAAGGGCCGTGTTCATGTACATAGCTGGGCGCGTACGTCCTTTGTGGGCCCCCTACTCACTGCCCGCGCTACCTGGGACACGACCCCGCCGTAGTTGCCCGCGCCCGCGCCGCGCGCCGCCGCCCCGCCACCTGGGCCCCGCCCCCCGCTGCGGACGCGGAGCGCGCACGCC